CAAAATTGTTATATATATATATATATATATATATATATATATATTTTCATATGCAATTGGTTTAGCCACTTTGTAATAAGTGAAAACGTTAGAATATAAATAAGGTCTCACATCGATAAAATAAAAAATGAAATAATTATTTATAAAACATACATTTACTCTAATGATTGAGAGACCTTTTGGATGATAATAGAAAATAAACTTTGAAGACTTAGACCCAACCATGGACAATATTTCACTATTGTAAAACTTTGTGTGAAATAAACCGATAAAGTTAACAAAATATAACCCTCTTTTCTTGATATAAATATTGACAAAAATAACCCTAACAAAAACTGGGTGATAATCCATGAATTTTGAGAGTAATTATGTTATAATGTACTTTTTACATGTAACATTGTATTTTCAAAAAATACCAGTCAAATTGTAAAAACACTCAATTATTCAAAACATAAATATACCATGTATTACCACCTTATAGCCTGTCTTACTTTGCTGTCCTCTCTTCATATTTTTACAAAAATGTATCAAGCTTTCAAGTGAGAGCAAAATGTTGTTCCATGTATTTAAAGAGTATAATGGGGTTTTTAAATTCATATTATTCATTAAAAGAGTTGGATTTTCATATAAAAATGACATTTAAATAATAATGATTGTAATATATATATATATATATAGATATATAATGTCATTTTTATGTGAAAAGATTCAATCTTAATCCTTAAATTGATAAAATAAATAACTTAAACTAAAATATTATAAATCAAAGTTATTATATATTGTCATATCATAGTCGTTTGTATCATTTTTATCGTCACTACTATTATTATAAATTACACTTTTCTTAAGACGTGGATGTCATAAGTTTATGTTTTAAGAAATTTTAAAGAGAAGTTATCTGAACCCAAATTTCCTTCTCTCTCTTTTACGGTGAAAATCCTTTCCTTTCTACCTTTCTACAACTAAATCCACTTGTTTGAGCTAGGAGATCCAAGCTTGAGGAGCTAAAGATCTTGAGTCAGACCCATGCGAAGAGTTTCTTCTTCTTCCTCTTCTTTTCTCTATAGAGCAACTAGAGATAATGGAAGCTTTGTGTTTATTGTTGCCTAAAATCAATTAAATATTGTAGCTGATACTGATTGAATTCATGAGGATGAGAATTTGGTTGTAGTTGAAATCATTGAAGGTGTTTTGAGTAAAATGTGACGATTCTTCGATTTTGATAGATGCATGTTGTTTTTGAGGATGAAATAGCGTTTTTCATGTTATGTAGATGTTGTATTGCCGTAGTGCATGTTGGATTTTGACTGGATTATAGGTAGATTGGACGAATCAAGTTTTTGAGGAAGAGGAAATTTTGATATTGTGCTAGGTGTACTGGGATACAAACAAGTCCCACTTCGATAAAATAGGAGAAGAAATAACAATTTATAAAGCACACATATACTCCAATGATTGAAAGGCCTTTTGGATGATAACCAAAAGTAGAACCATGAGGGCTTAGGCCTAAAACGAACAATATCTCATCATTATAGAGTTGTGTGTTAAATAATATTATAAAAATAACCCTTATAAAATATCCCCTCAGAAAAATATCATAAAATAACCCCATTAAGGTGCACCTTCATCATGTTGGGCGTGGCTTAATGTCAAGGGTTCTCAGTCTCATTACATTGGATGTAGAATTAGTGAGATCGAGTGTTGATAGGTTATTTTATGATATTCGTTTGCGGGGATATTTTATAAGGGTTTTATAAGGATTGCTTTTATAAGATTATTTCACACACAACTCCATAATGATGAGATATTATCCGTTTTGAGCCTAAGCTCTCATGATTTTACTTTTGGTCATCACTCAAAAGGCCTTTAAATCATTAGAGTATGTGTG